GTGTAGAAGAATATAGCGGCCCCACAATAGTCTATTCAAGATATACACCGTCTGGTGAGGGAGGGAGGTATATATTTTCTCATGGACTTTGATTAAAAGTTGATTTTAAATCTTAGACGTATTGTGTTGAAAGGATTTATAGATTTTAAATATGTATTTTTTTCTCTTTTTTTATTTAACATACTGTGTTTATATTTAAAGCATATTAATTTTATTACAAAATATTATTTAATGATACAGATATTTCTAAAATTATATGTAGCCGGTAAAAGGTCATCCTACATGCAATTGTCCTGGTTTGAGGTAGAATAGAATCAATTTTCTGTTCAGTAACTTCACTTTTTAGCTAATTTTTAGTTTAGTTTTCCCATCATAGTTGTAGTAACCAGTATTTATATAATTAAACAGCACGGCTCACAAATACAATCCTAGCAAATCCATGAAAATGCATCGTTTGAGTTGCCTATCGTATCCTTCACTCATACTCTTGTGTCTAGAAGTACCAGCAACATATGTATGTTCTTGTAATTAGCCCGACTACTGTTACATATCACCAACTATTACTGACTGTTTTGCGACTGTCTTTATTTTAGACAACATGAGAATCATGGATTCACAGGAGCAGTAGTCTTAAATACCGAGTTATTCTTTCAGGAGAAATTCGTTTATTAGTGGGAATAATGTTCCTAAGCTTAGCTGCTTATTATCAAAGTGCATAAATATACATTGATCTGCTTAATTTAAATTATAACAAACAGAAAGCAGGAAGTTTCTGAGTTCAGCAGACTGTACTTTTCAGCAATGTCAAATAATGGGCATAATTCTGCGCAGCTCTTGAATAGCAGCAGAACAGAATAGCAGTGATGTGCCAAAGGACTACGATGTGCCAACCACCGAGAATGCCGATGACAGTGGTAGAGAAAACAGAAATATAAAGGAATTAAGTGATTTGTTTATGTGCACACCACATTAGCAGTAATTTGGGAAATAATATCCCTGGTTTTTCGCCTCTTCAAGCCCGTGTGCACCGCACAGCGCCGTGTCTCCTCCAGTGGATTGCAGATGATGAAACATCATCTTTGCTTTGAGCGAGATGAAAATGCAGTAGAAATAGCAAACGGAAATTTTCATGAGCTCAGAGTGTAGGAGAGCACTAGGTAGCCTTAAGAGAATCCATTAATAAAAATACTAAGAAAATTTTCTATGATTTATTGTATGTTTTCTGTGTATCCAGTTACTTCTCACTTCCTTAAAGGATTGGTGGAATATAACATATCTAACAATAAAGGCTTAATGGAATCAGATTTGTGATTTCCTAGAAAATTAACGAGATATTTTGTCAATTTTATTCCAGACTTCATTTGTCAGAATATACAGTGTCCAGTGACAAGCTAAAAGAATTTTTTGACAAATTAACTATGCCACAGGTGACAGATCAGGAAAATGTTAATTTAACAGCCCCTTTATGCTTCCCAGATTTATTGGAGGCTATTAAGGAAACTCCAAATGGTAAGGCCCCTGGCCCTGAATAGATTTTCCATTGAATTTTATACAGAATCTATTAATAAAGTTCGATGCTGCCTTTTTGAATATAGGTAATTGTACTTTATCTTCTGGGTCTCCTCAGCACTGATAGTTGGAATACAATTTTTAGTTGAGAGAAAAAAGTAATTATGCTTCCAGTAGTGCCTGTGATCGGGTTCCGAATGATTCCTCCTGAAGAAGTGGCTGCACGCACCCTGTAAAACCCACCAGTGACTGCTAGTCAAATCCAGCGTGGTTGAGTCAGGGACTCGGCCACTGGGACTGGTGCTTGGATGGATCCCTTTTGTTCCGTCCCGCCACCCACAAACCCTCACCTAACGAGCTGCACACAGGTCAGTAATTGGGCTCTGGGGGAATTCCCACCCAATTAGTATTTTGCAGGACAAGACTAAGAATATGGATTCATTCCGTCCTGTCGACAGGTACCTGATGGTTTGGATGTCTAATGCTGGTTCAGAACTGGTATCGTCAATTTGCAATGAACACCGGGGAGATCTCCTCCAGACCCCTCGACGTGGCCATCGATCAGTCTGAGCCTCCGCCCGCATGTGTACGGGCCGCGCTGATGTTTCCTACCTAACGTGGCACTGGAAGTTCTCGTTACTAATAGAAAGGCTAATCGGCTTCCAAATCTCAGGTGTCAGCCTCCCTAATACCTTACGGCAATCGGTTTTACAGCACTTCTAATTAATAAAAATATTGTGCTCACTTTTGTAGAGCTCCCGAGTGCAATAGGGATGCTTGCGCGCCATTTCCCAGTGCTGCTGCAGTTGGTACCGCTCCCCTCGCTCACAGAGCCGCTGGGATCCCCATCCGGGTACGAATTACCCCGGGTTTAAGTCACCGGTCATCTTGATGTTCACGGGGAGCGTCTGCGCGTAAGAGAACAAGGACATCGGTAGTGGAGGGAGTTTGGACAAGCAAGGCAGTAAAAATCACCTGGAGGAGGTAGAGGAGACTTAGAGATGGGGAAGAACAAAGAGAAGTTTATTTGGAAAACAACAAACGCCAGGCGACAGCACAGGGCAAAGAGGAGAGAGAAGCACCGTGAAAGGAGGTACAAGGAAAGTTGCCGTCCTGTTTGTGATAATGGGGAGGTCGAGGTCCCCGGGGTGTGTTTGGTTTATAAATACATGTGTTTATCGGATTATGAGCTTATAAAACAGTCTGTACTTGTAGCAGTGGCTAATGGAATAATCGGGTCTTTTTGGTGATTAGTTACAGTTGTGGGTGCGTTTGGCCGTTCTCTGGTTTGCGCTGTCTCCAGCGGTTGTAACCTTGGCGTCGGCTCTCACATCTGGTTGTCAATTCTTCTTGGATTTTCAGTTGTCAGGACTAAGCATTACTTATGATTCTGCCATCCTTGGATTTAACTATGTAACTAACTTGGCGTGCCAAGGCGTCACATTAATTTCCGTGATAACTGCTATTTGCTCATTCAAATGCAAATGTGGTTGAAACAACAGGTCTCCGGTTGGGGCCGGTGTCTGCAGTCGTGGCCGTGGCGTGAGCGATGCTCACAGCCTCGCGCGGGTCCGCGCAGCCCCGGCTGGTGCTTGCGCCTGGGCAGGACAGGGATGGACTTTGAAACAGGTGATTGATTACCTGACACCGACTTAGTGCCCCTTGAAAATATCTCCTGTAGGTAGGAAAGCAAGAGGAGAAAGAAAGAAAGAAAACAAAAAAAAACCCCTTATTTTTTTTAGCAGTTGTAGTTCTGTTGTGTTGCTGATTTCCGAGGGGAGGTGGGGTCGTGGGTGCGGGTGGGATCACGGAGAGTCCGGCACAGAAAGCTCAGGGAGAGTCCGGCACAACACACCAGCTCACGGGCTCATCCAAAGGCTTATCCGAACAGGTGAGGGAATGTCCCATATTCTGTTACAAATACAACATTTCCTTTTAATGGAGTAAAGCCAATTCCTTCTTACCTTAAAAACATGGGGAGAGGAGGGATCTGCACTATAAAAGTGCTTTCTTAAAAAACAATTTCATTATATTTGGATGGATTTTCATAATACTTTTAGCTATGCTAGTATGAATAACTTTAATCTTTAAATTCCTATTATTTCTCTAATTTATAATCACACTGAAGGATCAGATGGTTTTTAACAATATATTGAAATTAGCACATGGCATTTAACTCCCTGTTTTATACTCTCATCATAGATTTATAGTATTGAATCCTTTTATTCTGTTACTTAGAATTCCGAGTGATTAATTCGAATAATACTTCCTTCTCTCAAGGCCCATATACGTACAGAGACAGACAGAGATGTGTGGTTACATCGGGGGTGCTCTGGAAAAGGTGATCGGGATGTACAGTCTTTTGTCTGTTTAAAAGATTACTGTTTAAGAGTGCAGTCCTGTCCGCAGTAGATTAAACATTTTTTCTCTTGTAATGCAAACTTTATAGATCTTTATGTTGCTATATATTTTATGTTTTATTTAATTGTTAATCTCCACAGTGCCAAATAGATTTTTTTAATACAGTAAGTTCCAATAAAACCCAGTATTAGTTAATCCTTTTTGGTTGTCTTCAAATAGTTGAAAATAGTTCAATGGCGGGGTTGTACGTGCAACTTTCTTCTTCTCTTGGCAAACCAAGGTCAAGCCTCAGGTTTGTTTTTAAACGTCATCTTAACCTCCGCAGATGATTGACGTTCATTTTTGCCGCCGCTGTGTGCTCAGGCTGTGACTGCTTTGCCCCATGGCACCCTGAGCTGTGGCCGAAGCGACTGTCTCTGGGTCGTTGGCACCTGTAGGTTTGGGTCCCGCTGGTTCCTGCGCACAGGGCACTGCGCGCTGTGGAAGGCTCATCCTTCCCCTCCGTTCCTCTCCGCTCCCACCCGTGCCGAGAGTTCCCCGCCGTCACCGCGCAGCGTGTGGCTGCGCCCCTCGGGCTGCGGCCGGGACGGCGGGGGGCCGGG